TCTCTCTCTCTCTCTCTCTCTCTCTCTCTCTCCCCGCCCCGTTCCTCCCCTCCCTCTACATCCCTCCTTCCCTCCCTCCATCCATCCGTCCATTTGCTTAGGGCAACTCCATTTGTACGGGGGTGCTATTTTGCAAGTGGGAAGGATTTGTGCATGGCCGCTATAGCCTATCGGAAGGAGTATGCGGGGATCATGCTGTGAACGTGGAGAGGCAGGGCGAGATGGAATGCTAGGGGGAGAAGGTTGCTGTTACGATCCTGGTCGTTTTCGATGTGCAATCCAGAAGGAAAGACAATGTCACCCGATTGCGAAAGAAATGAAAGCACTTGCAAAGAGATAGAGACCGAAGAAGAAGGAAGAAGAAGGAAGAAGAAGGAAGAAGAAGAAAGAAGAAGAAAGAAAGAAGAAGAAGATGTACACCAGCAAGACCAATGACAAACCCCCCTCTTCTGCACTCTCCTCCCCCTTGTCTCAGTCAATCTTACATTCAGCAATTAACTTCTGGTTGTGTACACATAAACGACCAAACTTCCTGTGGTGTTGGAACACAAGACCCTCGCACTCGTGAAAATCAGGTTGCCTGCTAGGGGCTTGATCTGCTCATGGATGGGACTGAGGTCCGGATCCTTGGCAGTGTGCTCGACCAGATCCTCCTTCAGTTTCCTTCGGAGGTCATAAGAGCTCACAAGGCAAGTCGAAAAGTTAGGATGATGAGGTATCGGCGACGCGATTGTAACAACCTTTCTTGTGTTTCAATTCAAAGTTATATACATCAATGCCATGCAGCCAGGGAGTCAGCATCGGGGAAACATTAGTTTGTGATTTGATCCACTGAAAGGTCTGATGATCTGAGTAGACCTTGAAGTGACGGCCCAAGAGTAGTGCTTCCGATGCGCTAACGCTTCTCGCAAGGCATACAACTCACGCATGTACATGGAGGTAAGCTACCTTGTGGCTGGGCATGCGTTTGCTGTAGTATTCAAGTGGATGCAAGCCATCACCATCATTTTGTTGCAGCACTGCGCCAATTCCTATCCGTAGTGACTGCGAATGTGAGGTTGGGATCTGCAAAGCCTCCTTCAAAGCTTGGAATGCAGTTTCACACTTCTCACCCTACACATAAGTGACATTCTTGCTTTTTACTCTCGAAAGTGGGTGAGCAATGACGAAAACTTTGGGTACAAACTTGCAGTAATATGAAGCCAAACCAAGAAAGGAACGCAGTTCGGTACGTTTGTCGGTTAAAGCACTAGTACACCACATATCGGCCCGCGGGTGTCAACATGAAACCTGCACCACTTTGGAGGCCGCCGATTTTTGTTTTTCAACGGCGGGCCTGGTCGCGCGGCGCCTTTGAGTTTTGCTTGTGGCGACAAAGACTTTGTGCAAGGTTGGGGCCGTGTACTAGCGGCTTAAGGCCACTTCCGTATGACCTCAACCTTGGTTGCCTCAGACTCAAGGCCGTTGGCGGACAACCGGTGCGCAAGATAGATGATGTTGTCCCTCCCAAACTCAGATTTCTCTAAGTTGAGATGCGAGTTTGCCTCCTTCAGGATCTGCAAAACTTCCTCAAGGTGCTTGACGTGCTATTCCATGGACTTCCTAAAAATCAGGGTGTCACCAACTAAACGACAACAAACTTGTTGAGTTGATGGCGGAGGACCTTGTCCATGAGGCGCTGAAATGTGGCTGGTGCATTTGTGGGATCGAAGGGCATAACGATAAACTCGTACAACCCATCGCGTGTTTTGAATGCAGTTTTGTGTTGGTCAGTCGGATCAGCTTTAATTTGGTGGTAGCCAAATTTGAGGTCGATCTTGGAGAACACCTTGCACCCACGTGCAGCACCCAGCGAATCATGTATGCGTTGCTAGGGATAAGTGTTCTTTCTAGTAATATAGTGTATGCCACGATAGTCGATGCACATCCAAAGTTTGGCTCCTTTATTGGGCACAAACAGGACACGTGCACTGAACTCAGACTCACTAGGCCTAATCCATGCACGATCAATCATATCATCTATCCGCCTTCTCAACTCCAACTCGCCTTGCCCCATATGATAGACACAACCCTTTGGAGGAACACCCCCTTCTACTATCTCGATCTTGTGTTTGACCGAATGCTCAGACACCCCACGAGGTTCAGTCAAAACTTTCGGGAATCGATGTAATAGACAACAAATGTTTGTTGGGACTTTTGGTGGAGGAGGGACTTTTGGTGGAGGATCATACTCATCAGAAGAGAGAATCAGTTTGAGAATTTACAGTTATAATAATTGAATTTGAAGTAGCTGGATTGGAAGTACACTTATTTGTTACAGTCGAAGTAGATGGAGTAGAAGTAGAGTTATTTTCCAAAGTAGAAAATGCAGCAAAAGTAGAAGGAACATAGATAGGCTTGACAAAGGCTACATGTAAATGCTCACCTTCCTTTCGCCTTTGCACTGATTTGCAGAATGTGTTTGCACTCAAATGAGTCACTGGGGACTCAGGCGTCTCGTCCAACAAGATGGTACACTCGTTCCCCTTAGCATCACGCAAACGCCCATGTGGATAATGGGCCTTTAACCAACCCAAGCCAATGACCGCGTCGAAGGGACACTTGTCGAGGATGTAGAAGTTCAACTCATGTGTGACACTGCGATCTTTGTCAAAGGTAACTTCCACACCTTTGACAACATGCGTTGAGGTGACAACCTCTTGGTTGCCTACTTGGGTCCGACAAGGGTTCTACAATTTCACTTTCTTCATTCCCAGGCCTGCCTTACGAACCCCATTAGGAAAAAAAAAGGTTAGTGGTTAAGCCATTATCAACCAAGACACGGATGTGTGAGGAATGTGTCCTCATGGGCCCCTAGTCAACATGCACATGTTTTGTACTGTGGTCCCCAACAAGTCTCTTGCCCGCCCCAAGTGAAGGTGGGCTTGAAAAAGCCTTGAATATCCACGAGACCCCCTTATCTTAGCATTTTACAATGTGGGTATTAGACAGTTGCAGCACACCAGTAGGTTGAAGTGCAACCTGGACCTTTCCTTGGGCTCTTTCCAAGAGCAGCAGCTGCGTCAAGCAGTTGAGCGCAGGACGCAGGTGGTTGTGCCCTGGGCACATGCAGTGTGAGGCCTACACATCACGAAGTGGCCACGGGACAATGAGAATGCAGCATTGTCGTCACAACTACCCCGTGGGCCAACTCGAACATTGGGAGCTTGGAGGATACCCGTAGGTGCCCGACCGACCACAAAAGAGCCAAGGCCCTTAATTGTAAGAGAGGCCTGGGTGCAGATATTGGGGCTCGACTGGAAGCTACTGGAAACTTCCTAGGTCAGGCTCTCACACCCACAGGGAAGGGGCCACAGCTTCCATAAAGCCGGACGCTGGCCATAGGAAGCTATTATGGCCTAGGCAGGCAATGCGGACGCGCTGCTGCATCAAAGCATAAGTGTCTGCATGCGCTTTGCTGGCTGGGGCGCGCGGGGGCGCTAAGAGGTGTGGGGCGCTGCAGGGCAGCGGGGCGCCAAACGGCCATAGCTGGGCTGGAGGGTTGTGGGCAGGCGACAGTGGTCTTCGGGAAGAAGGTGCATGTGTGGGTGGACAAGGTCTGATGAGGGGAGGCTAGAGAACGAACCTGGTGTATGTGGGAGGTCAGCATTGGTGTTGACGTCATGTAC